GAAATAAATAAATCATACAGTTTGTCATATTTGGTAAACTAGAGTAGTTGTGTTGGGAATGTAGGTGGTGTGTGTGGGTGTTGGTAGTTGGAATTTAAAATAGAGTGGTGGTCAGTATTTTCTCTATCTTTCATAGAAAAAATTCAATACATCTAAGCATAATTCAATTAAGATTGGCTTGAATCAGTTTGCCTCAGAAAATAGGACTAGAAATATTTCCTCATATTTTAATTTTAGTTGGATTTTAACAAAGACTTCAAAATGGCAGCTTCAGTTCATTTTTAGTTCAATGAAGAATAGCTCTCATACATATGCAGCCTGGAGTCAATTCTATTTCTTGGGTTGGATTATTACCAAGATCTTAACAAGGAAGAGGAAGAATTATGGATGCCTCAGGAATTGACTAACCACATATATCCTACATTAAACATGCTTCTCCGAATCCAGAAGCTCACTAGAACCAGATTAAGAACTAGAAGGGATTTCTTGGCAAAGGAGGATTCTTACAAAAATAAAGACTTGGGTTGAACTCAAGTTTTAGGATTTATGTGCAAATTCAAGACTTATCTTTTTATCATGTGAACAATTTGGACAAGTAACACAAACTCCAGGAGGTTTGGTCTCAAAAGAACTAGTGTTTAAAAAGAATAAATTTCATCTCTGCTACTCGGCATTGCCCTTTAGCATAGTAGAACGTTCCTTTCACAGTGTTATACAGTAATACTGTACTCCTATTAATGAAAATGATACTTCAATATCTAACTTAGCAACAATTTTGTGATTAAAACAATATAGAAGGCATTGAAATGCATTCTAGGGGTGAAGAGAACAGGTAATCCTAAAGATATTATTTAGCCAATATAATACCAATATGAAGTTACCCCATGTGTAAAATCCATTTATATCAAAGTGTAATCCAGTAATCATTCTGTTACCTGATATAAGATCATTTCTAAGTTTTAGTAGGGATGGAAAGAGGACACTAGAGACCTGCAAACAGTAAGGACTAGAAGTGGGAGATGTGTTGATGCTCACAGGAAAAATGAGTGGGTAAACTAAGAAAGCCAAAACAAACTTATTTCACAATTTTGCTCAGGGTTTCTGCTATAAACAGTCTGCTCTGATGGACAAACAAAAACTGTGGGGAGAAGTTTCATGTGTATGAAAAATTTGAGATAAAAGACATTAAACAAATAATCCTTCTCATAATGTATTAAGAATTTTTACTTATGTGTCCCCCCTCCCAGTACTGCTGACTGTGTAGAAAGATGTTTAGTCTTACATAATTCTGTAATGAGGTACTACATCACCAGACTACAAAAATAGATACCATATAACTACAGATGATAAAAATAGATTAATTTCCTTTTCTTAAAAAAGCACAGAAACTGCTTACCTGATACATATTAGTGTGAAACCTATTTTGGGATACTTCCTGTACTAATTCAAACAGATTTTTCAATTAAACTTCACAGCAAACAAGTTGCTTTCATTTCTCTGTGAATCTCAGGCATAGGGTTCTGAGCAGGTATATTGCTCTGGAAGCAAAGTTGGTATCTTACAGACTACAAAAACAAGGAAGCAAACATTTATAAATGGAACTCAAGGAAGGAAACAAAGGACTCCTTCAAACAATGATTTTCTTTTGGTCTGGAACTGAAGACTCACCTCCCCCCATTTGACACCACAAAGCTTATAATAAACACTTCTTTGAATTGACAAATCCATTTGCTAAATAGCAAAGTCTCAAAAGAATATTTTGAAATGCACCATAATATGTTATGTATTGTAAGCTAATTTCAAATCAAAAGTATACAAGCAAAAACCTACTTAAGAAATGCATCTTAGGCTAACTCTGCAGGATAGAAAATAACACTTTTTAGAAGGTCTCTGTCTTCTTTAGATTTTACTTTTACTTTTTAGAGATGGGTGTCTTGCTATGTTTCCCAAAGTGGCCTTCAATCCTTGAGCTCAAGTGAACCTCCTGCCTCAGCCTCCTTAGTAGCTAGGATTATAGATGTACACCCCTCACACCCTGCTTATCTATTTTTGAATGAGTGATTCTTTTTTGCACTTGCTCTTTACATTGGAAGGAATTTCAAATACAAGAACAGTTTTATATTCTTCAATAAAGTCTGTATCAGAGCAATTCTCAGCACCCCCAATCTTTGCCATTTGATGTGTTTGTGCCCTTTATGTCAGTTCTATTGCAAAATCCGATTTGAACTGTTTAAATAATTTTGTCATCAGCTACTGTCATGGACTTGTTCCTCTGTGTAGTTTAATGATATATGCTGTCACTTACATTGGCTTTGGATTATGGTTACAATGTGTCTAAGGAATTGTGGCATTTGAATAGTACGACAAATGGATGTACTCTGTAAGATCTCCTCCCTCTGCCAGTGGTAAAGGACTTGTCTGAAGCGGGCCAAGGGCTGGGGATGTAGCTCACTAGGAAAGCACTTGCCTAGCATGCCTGAGGCCCTGGGTTTGATCTCTAGCACCACACACAAAAATATACAGGTTTAGGTGGAGCTAAAAATTTGAATAGGGAGAGGTTCACCTCTCTGCTTGTTCAGTTCTTTCACCAAAGGAAATGGAAATAAGAGTTCCTGGGTGGCCTTGAGTAGCTGCTCCTAAAAAGACGAGGAAACTGACAATTCGAGGACAAACTACAACTCTTGCAGTACTGCTGGATTTATGTCCATCCTGTCAAATACTTTTGTTTACTTTTTCTTAAAAATGGAGAGACAGGGTTAAGTGTGGAGGCTGTATCTGGCCAAGGGCCAGTTTTGTGAAGTTACTTGGCTCCCTTAAAGATGAAAATGGAAACTCTGCCCTCAAAGTGCTTCTGACCTAATGCAGGTCTGCCTACGTCTGAAAGCCAAAGGTTCCCTCACTGTCTTTCTAGAACACAACATGGCTCAGTGTGGATTAACGTTTTCAAATTCCTTTAAGATCCTGAGATGAAGACACTGATGAAATCTAAGCTTCTTCTAGATTTGAGAGTCTTAAGTTCTGGGTTCAGCTCTTTATCTTGTTGGAGGAAATGGGGTTGGGACAGAGAAATGGAATGGGAATGTGTAGTCTTCAAGGCTATTAGGTGCCACCATACTAGGATATTAGAGCTTGTGGGCTGACATTTAACTCTAAACAAGGTTGAGCCATATATGGGTAAAAAAAGTATCCTTTCCAAGTTCATTTGTGAAGCCTACAAATGGGGAGGGGTTTGGGGAAAAATAAGGTTGAGTAGACATTAGCATGCTAGCCAAAATGGAGCCCTTAAGATGCAGAAAATTGTGACAGCCAAAACTAACCCAGAGGAGGGTGTGAAAGGCGCCAGGGGCTGAAGTATGTGCAGTCCTGTCAGACTGATCTATCCTCAGCTTTTTCTATCTACTAGGACATACAATATCATTTTGGGTGAGAAGATACAGGAGCAATAGGAGAGCTTTTTTCTTCTTCCTAAAAGAGCTGCTCCTGAAATGGTTGATCCTCCACCCCTATTCACTCAGCTTTCATGCAGAGCAAGTCAGGCCAAAAGTGTGGTCAAACCTAAGTTGATATTATTTCCTGGCTATCGTACTGAATCCCAGTTCCTAGTTGAGTCAGGTATAACTGACGGCATAAAAATAAGTAAAAATAGTAACAGCAACTAACATTTATTATATGCTTCATTATCCCCTTAGGTCCTGTATGTTTATGCAAAATATTTCATTTTTACAACAAATTTATAAATTGGGGAGTTCTGTTATGGTCCTAAAGAAAACCATCACTAATTATAGAGAAGTAACTTACTATTTCTATAACTTACACATGGTGGATAAAGGCTGCCACTACAATATACAGAAATTAGCTCTGACAGGGGCATACTAAAGTACTTTTCCTTTCCTGGGCCAGTTCACTAGGCCACCACCCTACCTCTGCTAGACCTCTTCCAACTGCATAGGCTGTCCCTTTTCATTTCCTCTGCCAAATCCTCATCTTATTTTTCAGACTGTCCCAGGGCTGCTTTGGTCCTCTCCTTTTCTCCTGCTACATTATCTAGTTGAGCTCAACCAGTCACATGAGTTTATGTGCCCACAGTCATACAGCATTTATGTGCCTACAACCTCCAAATTTATGTCCATCCCAGACACATACCTACTTGTCTATACCTATCTCCACTTGGGTGTTTGACAGAAACCTCAAATTTACCATGCCTAATTCCAAGTTCCAATCCCCCTCTCCAAAATTTGTTCTTTCCCAATCTCAATAAATGACAGCTTCATTCTCTCCTGAGCTCAGATAGAAACCTTCCAGGTCAGCGCTGGGGGTGTAGATCAGTGGTAGAGTGGGTGCCTGGCACGAGTGAGGTCTGGGGTTTGATCCCCAGCACAAACAAATGAACAAATGGTGCTGCCCCCATAAAACCTGTCAGGATCATCATTGGGCACTCTTTCTCTATATTCACACCTAACCTAACAGTGATTCCCGAGTGCTTTATCCTCCAAAACAGACTCAGAATCAGCACTTCTCTCCATCTCTGGCTCTAGCTGATGTCACCCTTATTTATTTATTTATTTTTTTGTATTAACTTCTTTTATTGGTACATTGTAGGTATACAACACAATTACATTTCTCATTGGGAATTGTACCTTTATATAATGCATCTTGGTTCTTATTTTTTCCCCATTCCTAGCCCTCCCTTCACGCCCTCCACCCTTCCCTATTTACAAAGACTTTATTTCCATTTTTTCCATTTCTCATCATTTTTCCTTTCCCTTCTTTCCTTTCCCCTGCCCCTCCGACTACCCCTACCCCTTTGGACCTTTTCTTCCTATTTTACATTATCGATTATTCATTCTAATCATTGGTACATTTTAGGTATACAATATAATGACATTCATCATTGGAAATTTGCACCTTTCCATAGTCTCTCTTGGTTCTTGTTTTTCACCCTTGCCTAGCCCTCCCTTCAACCCCTCCAGCCCTCCCTATTTACAAAAATTTGAATTGCCTTTTTTTTTTTTTTTTGGTACCAAGGATCGAACTCGGGTCCTTGGGGTTGCAAGGCAGGCTGCAGAACCACTGAACTAAATCCCCGGCCCCTGTCACCCTTATTTTCATCCCAGCTAGGCTCATCTCCGTGCTTGCTGACTTGCCTCTTCTGTATACTGCCTATGTAACAGTCGCTTTTTGAAAAATAACTTATGAATCTTTAAAAACGTGCCCATAAATGATAACTCCCCCATCACCTAGCTTCAAAATTTAACATTTGGCCAATCTTCTTTGGTCTATGCACCTCCCATCGTCTTCATCTTCTTCCTCTCCTCCTCCTCTTCATTTTGGTGGAGTATTCTGAAACAAATCCCAGTAAAGTCATCAGATCAAGCAGCTCACAAGTTTCTAACTGCTTCTCATCTTAGTAAAAGCCAAATCTTGAGAGTTTGGGGCCAGCCTGAATTACATAGTAAGACCCTGTCACAAATAAACAAACGAACAAACAAGGCCCAGTGTGGTGGCAAACGCCTGTAATCCCAGCACTCAGGAGGCTGAGGTAGGGTAGTTGTGAGTTGGAGGCCAGCCTGCATCCTGAACTACGTAGCAAGGCCCCGCCTCAAAATAGGCCAAATCTTTTATCACAGCCTACAAGACCTACGTGGTCCATGACTACTCCCCCCATACCCGCTCCTATCGCTGTTTCCCGCTCTAATCAGCAGCACTAGAAGGTCTCAAAGCTTGGAGGGCACCAGCACCATCTGGAGGGATTGTCCTAGCACAGACTGCTGGGCCAGGTCCAGGGGTCCTGATGCAGTAGGTCGAAGGGTCTCCCAGGTTCCCCGGCAAGGCAGGCAAATAGATCTAGCTGAGGAGTCTGCAGGGCTGTCCCCTGGGCATTCTGTGCACCGCTCAAGACTGGTTCTTCCGTCTGCCTCATGGGTACCTTTGACAGGCCTTCCCTCACCACTCCTCACGCTGACTGATTCTTCTTCCTGGCAGGCGCCGTCCGCTTCTGTCTCTTCTCACGTCTAGCCCGACAGCTCCCTGCCCCGGTCCCAGGTCCCAAACCCTCCTAGAGAGCGCTCACCCGTCCGAGGAAGGAGACCTAGCTTCAAGCTTGGGACCCTGGGCAGGCCAATTCATTTCCCCTGCCTCGGATTCACCATTTGGGAAGGCAGAGCCGGCTCCACCACCCTTCCGCGTCCCCTGCCAGAGGCTCGGATCAGAGGAGAAGGACCAGACGGTGCCGCGGAGGCCGCGGGCCGGTGAACCCGCGCGCCCTCCCCCACCCTGCCCCGCCCCGCCCCGCCCGGCCCGGCGTCGCGGTGACCCCCGCCGTCCCGCCCGCCCGCTCCGGCTCTCGCCCGCCGCCGCCCCCAGAGTCCGCCTCGGCAGCGGCGCGGCTCGGGGAGGAAGGAAAGGCGCCCGGGGGAGGCACCCTCGCTTGGCCGCCGCGGAAGGCCGCACCGCCGTCCCGTCACAGCGCCGGCGCCGGCCAGGCGAACCCGGAAGTGGCCGAGCAGCGCGCTCCCTGCTCCTCGCCCGCTCGCCCCTCCGTCCCCGTCGCCGTCTCCGCCCGCACTCCGGCGAGGGAGCCGCGCAGCATCCGGAGCGCGCCCGGCCGAGCGGGCCATGGCCGCGGGGGCCGCCGCCGCAGGTGGTGGCGCGGCGTGAGGCGAGCGCGGCGCCCCCTCCGGGGCGGATGGCACGCGGCGCGGCGGGCGGGCAGTGCCGGCGTCCGCGGCTGGAATGGTGCTGGCGGCGGCGAGCGGTGCCTACGTTCTGAAGCCCGCGAGGAGCCACAATGGAGACGCCGCCGCTGCCTCCCGCGTGAGTGAGCGGGCGGCGGGAGGGCGGGCTTCGGCCGCTACGGAGGAGCGCGCTGCTGCGGCGCGGGGCTGCTGGGGACGCCCGCCCGCCGGTGCCGGCCGAGGAGGATGCCCGGGGGCGGCGGGGGTGGGAAGTGCGGGGCGTGACGAGGCGTGGTGCCTGCAGTCCGGAGGCGACCGCAGACGGAACTCAGGCTGGCCGGGCTGTGACTTCGAACGCCGCCCAGGATTTCCAGGGCCAGGGCTTCCCAGTCCCGGGCGACCGGAGGCTTCGGGATGGGGCTCTGTGTCTCTTCCTGAAAGGCACGGGCTGCTGGTGCCCACCCTGCCTGCCCACCCCTTGCCCTTAGGCAGAGATAGGGTGCGCGGATTCCGGTTGAAAAGGAAACCGGGAAGTACCAGACACCCGGTGTCTAAATGCATTGATCTGAACGTTACTTGCTTCCCCGAATTTCCAACAAAATTAATATCTGAGGAGCTTTTATATCACTCAAAATGAGCTGCGGCCGTTCAGGGCATGTGACCTTTTACCTGGTACTGCAGAACATTTCATCCAGAAATCAGAGCACCTTCTGTTTCCTTGGTACCCGGGGCAAATTAGTAGTGTATCGACCTGCCAGGCACAGGTGTCTTTTTTCCTTGGTGCTCAAGTACATTCAAGATCACCTGCAACAAAATTACTTTCTAGAAATAATAATAACTGGAAAATTACATGGAAGATACTATTGTATTATTTAGTGCAAGGGTGTTTGCTTTTTAAAAAAATATATACCTTGGTAAAAGTGGACTGCAAATCCCCAGGAGTTTTGAAAATTTCAGTTTTGACTTGCTTCCCTTAGTTTAACCTTTAGGAAGGAAAAAGAGGCTTTTGAATTTGACTTTTCGAGCCGCAGGGAAACCTCGTTCTCAAGAATGGTATTTCTTTATTCATGGAGCCTTACCATTTTTCAGTTAGTCGGCCAGCTTCACTCCGTGGCGATTGTACCGCACCAGCCTCTTGGGGTTACTAGCAGAATTTCAGACAAAATATGGTTATTTGGTTTGGGCTAAAAAATTTTTTTTGATGTTGAATCCTTTTAGGAAAACGAATGGGATTCTGGAACTACAATTTTTCAAAGTGCATTACAGAATTTTGAGCTTGAGTGGAACAGGTCATGGGGCTGAGGAGTAGATTATAAAACTCTTGAGTTGCCCCTCCTGGGCTGATAGAAAAAAGCACAAGGGCTCAGCCGCTTCTTGATTGCTGTAGCTTTGAGGCTCCCTGTTCTGCTTCTGGTCTTCAGCAGCTTGGGGGAGGGCTCCAGAACCCCTAGGAGGCATGATGGTGGATTGTTAGCTTCAGCAGCATGAACAGGCGTGAGAGTTCTTACAGCAGCACAGGGACCCTGCATATAGACAGCATGTCACATATAACATGGAGGATGGGTCTGTAGTAAACCGCCCTCTTGTGTATCAGTTCTCTGCAGTCTCTTTTTACTTTTGGAGCAAAGTGAACTCGAGCAAAACAAGGGAATCTTAGGATGCAGCTGAAAGAAGGGTGTGGAAAAGCAGGCTCAGGAGGGAGTAGACACAAAAAATGATTTAAATGGAAGTAAAACAACGAAATAGGTGTGTGCATTGCTCATACTGATAAGCTGAATCCAGGCAGATCAATGAATCATAATTCTGATGTCCAGCAGGATTCTTTGGTATTGAAACTCCATGGTGCTGGAACAATGAGAGCCTGAGATAGAAGGGAAAACCCTGCTCGCCAGCAGTAATGAAAGAATTACTGAACCTCCTTTAAGTCATGTGTGACTGAAGTACCTGACACTTTTTCATTGTTTCAACCTATGTAAAAATACAAATAGATTTTATTTTCATTTGGCCTATCCAGAATTAACCCTAATTCCAGAACTTATTGTAGTGTTATTTATCTTCCTGTATTTCAGAAATAGTTTTTTCCTGCCCACCCTCTGGCCAGTTTGCCTCCACCCCTGTGAACTTCCTTCCTGCCTGGATGAGGGTGTTGGATTTGAGAAATGCAGGAGATGTCTTGGGAAGGGGCTTCACCAGGCCCTGCTGGTGGAGCTGGGTGGAACAGAGGCAGTGAAGTTATTGAGAGCAGTCAGCTGTGTATTAGGTTGGCTTCTTTAGCTTGACTTTTAAGGCAGAGAAAGATGTTTGACTTGGACTTAAAGTATGTTGTATGTTGTGTTTGGAAGCAGACTCAGAATTCTCTTTGTGCGAAGTCTATTTATTAACTTAATTCAGTCTGCAAATATTTGAATGTCTGTCTCTGCCTGACACTGTGTGGGTTGCTTTTGTTTGTGCCCGTTTTAAAAAGATGGCGACCCAGGGGCGGGGATTTAGCTCAGTGGTTTCACCGCCTGCTGCGCAAGCGCAAGGACACGGGTTCGATCCCCAGTACCACAAAAAAAAAAAAAAAAGAGGACCCACCACGTTGCCCCAGCTGACCTCAAACTCCTAGGCTCCAGGGATCCACCTCCTTCAGCCTCTGGTGTAACTGGGGCCAAAAGGGTATGCAACCACACCCGACTTTGTGTGCTTTTTAAAAAAACTAATTAATTAATTTTTAACGGCCAGACTTACATTGTTCTCCAGTCCCCCTTGCTTGCTCCCCTTTGGCCTGTTTGCCCATTTTCTGGAGGGGTGGCAGGCAGCTGCCCAGGATTCCTCTCCTCAGGCTGACCTCCTCGACCTGGTTTTGATCTCTTGTGCTTTTTCCACTCCTTCTTACCAAGTTCTCTCCAACCCGTCACAATTCTCATACTGCTCATCCTTGGGCTTTATAGTTCTTTTTCTTGTTTTTTGCATCGAGTACATGTGGGGTTGGGATTCTGTTGCATTTTGGGATATGGGTGATAGAAAGACCATGTGACATTTGCTTCTGGTCAAACCTGAACTAAAATGAGATGTCCATCACTAAGGGAGTTTTAGGTAGTAAACCGAGCTGTGTAAAAGGAAGTATAAGCCGATCAGCCCTGACCTTAGGAATGTTGTACACATTCCAGCTTTTATAATTATTTGTGCAGAGGATTTTCAGAATTATTGAGTTGAAGAAAAACTGTGAGGTATAAGACTCAGTGCATCCCTTTGACCTCCCTTCCTTGAACCATTTTCTTGGCCCTTGTTTTCTTGCTAACTCGCTTATCACAGGTTGGTTTGCTTTCTACAGGTCTTGCTGATTTGCTTTTCCTTTACAGTGTCGAGCAGACACGGCTGTATCTGTTTTCTGGTCCCTGATCCCACATCACCGGAGGCCCTGGTCAGCAGAGGCGTTCAACCATCGGCAGACCACTTGTTGGCCACGTGCTGAGGGATTTAGGCAACAGCAGATTGGTTGGATTAGAGAAGAGATTCTCCAATTTTTGGATTTTATTGTCTTGTTTTAAAAAAAGAAAAACAGAATTGTTAGAATCCACCTGCAAATTATTGTTTATTGTTTTGCCAAGTAAAATAATTATTGATGAAATGATAACTAGCAATTATTACCACCTTTCAATGAAAGAAAGGGCATTTTAATATCTCTCCTTAAATATAAGGAAGATATTAATCTCTGAGTAAAGGATGGCCTTCAAATTGAATAAATTTAGTTTTATGAAAACTTGTTGCGTTGTCCTCATTTTGTCACAGATAAGTAAAAAGCGGAACTGTGACTGGAACTATGACTTTTAATGTTCTGTGTAAGATTAAATTACCATGAATTTAGTATGGATTACCCCAGTACTTGTCATTTATAAAGTGCAAGAATGCACATTCTTGATTTTAATTAGTTCTAAATGTAAATTGGGCATCTGATATCTTAGGCACATCTTTTTGAAATAGGCCATAATGTTTAAAATATAGTTTTTAGGAGCAATAAGGGCCCACAAGGTAATGGGGAAAGAAGCTGTGGATCAATATGTGTTGAAGGAAGTGTACTTTCTAGGGACAATTTGGAGGTGGATTTGGACACTCAAAAAGGACAGTCTGGGAATAGGTAACATTTATATAGTAGTTTTAAAAATTTCTAATGCTGGGCCGGAGATTTAGCTCCGTGGCACCGCACCTGCCTCACAAGCGCAAGTTTGATCCCCGGTACCAAAGAAAAAAAAAAATTTTCTAATGCTGGGAATGTATCCCTCCGCTCCCTAAAAAAGCCCAGACCTCTTGTTTCTGGTTCACATTTTTTATTGCACATGGCAGGCATTTAGTGTATATTAGTAACTTTAGTGTGGTGTAGAACTTCTTTTCTAAGATCAGGGAAAAGTTTCTTTCAGAGTGATACGGAGGAAGGAAACTTGCTTTTCAGGTGCTTTTCTGTTGTGATCTACCAAATTCCAAATTTATTTACTATTTACAATGAGGTAGTTCGGGTTTTTTATTCATATTTATTGAATTCCTACTTTTGGCCAGTTTTTGGGACTTTCTCAGAAAACAAAGTCCTTTTCCTCATGGTTGAGACTTGGAAAATAAATATAG